CGGAAACGGCCCCCGCACGACCACCATGGCTCCGACGTGGGCTCGGGTAGCCTCCGAGGCGCACCACGAGAGCTGTTTGGCGGATCCCAGCGAGAGGCTCCCCGGGGCGAGGATCCGCGGCTCGGCGCGCGGAGACGGCACGCGCGGCACCCAACGGGGCCCCAAGGCGTCCCGAGCGGTCGCCAAGGCAGCCCACGAGGCGCCCAGGGTCGCCCAAGCGGGCCCCAGGTGGCTTTACTAGCCTGGAACACATCCCTATCCCTATGCTGGGCACCTCCTCATCACGATGCCAATCTTAGGGATTCCCTTGTTTCTTGAGGGCGAATCCCTAAGATTGTCATCGCCTTTTGGCGTGTCAATCTTAGGGATAGGGATACGTTCGAGTCTGGTAGTGGCTCCCCACATGAGCTCAGACACGCCGCAAGGGCTTTCAAGGAGGCCCGCAGGGCCCGAAAGCGGCCCCAGCACGCCCACAGTCGCGCCGATGCGGCCCACGAGGCATCCAAGAAGGCCCGAGAAGGCTCTGAACTGCTTTCCGAGACAGCCCCAACCGGCACAACTCATTGATTTCTTTCGGTGTTTCATTGTCTTTCGCGTGGACGCCTGCTCCGCTTCCCGACGCACGCGAGGAATTCGCGAGGGCCCCAACGCGCCCTGAGGTGGCGCCGAACCGGCCAAAAGGCGCCCAAGATGGCCCAGGAGGGTTCAAGGCGGCTCTCCAACTGAGCCTGGACACGCCAGAGGGCCGTATAAAAGGCCCGCAGGGTTCCAAAACGGCCTCAGCACGCACACCAAAGCTTCCGTGCTGCTTACGTGGCATTCCAAACGCCCCAAGGACACCGGTCGAACTCGGCCAGGCTCGACTCGGCCAGGCCCGATTCAGCTCAACTCGGCCGAGCTCAATTCGGCCAGGCCGAACTCGGTCAGGCTCAACTCGGCCAGCGGCTGAGCTCAGGGCTGGCCGAGCTGAGCCTTGCCGATTTCGGCCTGGCCGAGTTCATCCTGGCCGAGTTGAGCCGGCCGAGCTGATCTCGGAAATCTGCTGCAGCAGGAGGCCCAGCCGAGTTGAACCCTGGCCGAGTTGAGCCGGGCCGATTTGACGCCTGTCCGAGTTGATCCGGGCCAAATTGAGCCCCAGCAAGATAATCGGGGCGAGTTCGTCCGTGTCCGAGTTGAGCCGGCCGGGTTAATCCAGGCAGGTTGATCCCGGCCCAGTTGAGCTGGCCGAATTCGTCTTGGCCGAGTTGATCCGAAGCGTTCTTGCTCCAGGCAAGCCCAAGAAGCCCAATGTAAGCCCACAGAGCGCGGCGTCGTCTTAGGCGGACCCCGTTCTGGTGTTGCCAGAAGCTTTCCCGGGAAGGTGCAGATGGCTGCCAGAGCACCCCTCACGAGGCCCAGAGGGTCCCCCTGAAACGGCGCGAAAAGCTGGGAGCGCCCTGGGCCAGGACCAGCTCTGGGCTCTGGGCAGCGCCCGACCCATGGGTGCCGCAGCTGCTTCACTGGCACCCTCCAGGTCGGACCAGGCTACACCCTGCGCCGAAGCCTGCGCGGCCTCACTGCCAGCGCAACGGCGCTCCGTGTCCTCGGGCGTGGCCTCCGACCCCACGCTCGCGAGCTCCTCGACGGGCTCCCCTCCTCGGCGTGCTCGGGCTGGGCGCCGCGCCAGGGCCCCAGGCTCCTCACCGCCAGCGGCATCCAGGCGCGGGGCCCCCCCTGCGCGGCGAGGTGCGCATCCCCCGCGCCCTCCTGCTCCGGACTTCGCCATGGCAGGGCTCGGGCGCAAGTGGCGTCGGCGGGGCTGCCTGGCGCCCTGCGCGCGAGTTCTGCCAGCGGCGGGCGAAGCCCCCCCGCGCGGCACGTTGCGTCTGCCCCGCGGTGCGCATGTGCGGGGCCCGAGGCGCGCGCGGAAAATCCTGCCTTTCGCCGCGGTGGCGCGGTTCGGCCGCATCCCCCTTCTCTCTTGGAGCTTGTCTCGGCGCGCCCCCCCTAGGATGCAACCCCTGGGAGGTCAAAGTCAGCATCGGCGCTGGTATATCCGTTGCCGACAACTTGCCTAATCCAGCATCGCCTCATTCCATACCACCTAATCCAGCAAATTCATCCTGGGCTCACTCCAGTCTGATCCGGCTCAATGGCCCCTCAATCGGGGTTTACTCGTTCTGTCGAATACTTTCCAGGAGTTGCCTCCTCACCCTGCACTTCGCGGCCGAGGGGCCCAGCTCTGGTGGGTGTGCCTCTGGTGGGCTGCAAGGCCGCCGTCCGCCGGCTTCAAGGCTCCGCCGTGGGCTGCGGCAGGGCCGGTCGCCTCCGCGCTCAGCCTCCGCCGTGCGTGCGCGGCGTGGGCTTGGCCCTTGGCCAGGCGTCGGTCACCACCCACCACCCACCACCCCCGACCCAACCCGAAGGCCCCAGTTTGCATTCCATTCCCGGTGGGGGGGCCACAACGTTGACAAAAACACGTGTGGAACCTGGACCCCCTCCCGAAACCTTGGGTCTTCGG